ATGTTGATGCCGATGAATGATGATGCTGATGGTGATGATGCATGGTGAGGATGATGCTGATGAGGATGATGATGACACTGATGATGATGATGATGATGATGATGATGATGATAATGCTTTCGTTGCCTATCTTATCTGGACACTTGTTTTAATGTTGGGTGATCTTCATTCGGGTACTCTTTTCTTTGATCCAAGATTTCGAGGAGATCCAGTCCATCTTTTATTACACCTTAGAGTTACTTCTGTCTTCTTCTTTCTTCTCTTTTTGCGAATCTGGCCAATGAATAATAATAATCATCATCATCAAAATGTTTACCTCGTACCTCGAATTCTTAAAACAACATTTAACACAACATCAACAATAAAAGCACATTGGGGGTCGGCGGCATCAGGCGTCAGCCTGCTTAATAAAAAACACTATATACCTCCGAAGAGATTGGGGGGTCATAAAAATAAGTGGGTGTGGCTTTTACCCTCCCAATTCACATGGAACCGTGGAACCCTTCGACGTTCGGGGAAATGGTCCTGGTTTGGATCATGTTGCTTTGAATGGGACCATTTCCCTGTTGATTGGTTCGGGAGTGTACTTACAGTTGGTTCAATTGGGTAGGTCCCCGAATACTTGTCAAAGATAGGGGATATTGGGTAGGCGCGCCATGTCCTCTTCAAATGAACAACAAACTACCAGAAGTATCATCCGTTGCTCGCGTGGATGCTTCCTTCAAACAATCCCCCCAACAAAGTAATTGTGGGACGCACCTGGTTGGTTCACTATGTTGGTGAGTGGGACAAGTAGGGGTGAATCGACACCACTATGATCATTATATACTTACTAAGTGGGCTGAACACCAAAAGTGGACCCATCAGTCCCATCCATAGCTGGTCAAGCAAATCAGCCAGGGATCAATTCATCCAAGGCTCTCATTCAAGAGTAAGGATCCAGTCCAAATTCGAGTTCCTCCTTTACACTGGGCTGCACGTTTTCTGATCCCCCGCTAAAAGTGACTCAATTTTAACGGGTCAAAGGGTCAAATGGAAACTACCACTAAACACTAAAAGGCTAAAAAGCTAAGGGGATGGCTGAGAGCCATGAAGTACAGTAAGCAATGGCTTCTTTGGGCTTGCCTTTCCATGTTTTTGTTTCTTCCGCGCACCGTGGTTGACAATCCCTAGCGGACCACACAGCCCCCACAGTTAGCACGTGGCCACATCTGTGAGAGGCAGCGGGCAAGCATCACCGCGATTCACCCTACCAAAACGGATCACTTTAAACTGGCCCCAAGGGCCAAAGAACAAAAAGGGGAGCCCTGGCAGCTCAGGATCTGCAGCCAAGGAGTACATGCGATGCCAAGGATCTTGAGGGGTTGAGCTCCACTAGGCGCTGCTGTTCGCGGATTTCGGGCTCCCCTCCGAAGCTGTCAGTGAGTCAGGATCCGACGCAGCCCTGGGTTTGCCTGGGGACTCCAACCCATTTGGTTTCCCAGTTTCCCAGTCCCTGTTCAGCCCCAAACCGACAGCCTAAAGCACCGACAATCAGAATGGTGGTTGTGTTCTTGTTGTTTTCCTGTAAAACCAGCAAAACAGGATGACTACCCTCAAAAGAAGACACACCCATATGCTAGTTCTTGTCCACATGCACAAACATTGGAGCACATCCTGAGGCCCTTGCGAGTGCTCAGCAAGAGTTGAGCAGCTACTCGGAGACCATTGTTAGTGGGGCAGCCACCAAAAAGAAGGGGAAAAAGGTGCCGCTGAACAACTAAGGCCATCCCCACGTGAGTCATTCCGAGAACCCCATTTTTCATGGCGCCGCTTTTGGGTTCGTCCATGAAGCCTGATTGAAGCCGATCTTGGTGAAGATGTCCTGGCAAGTGGGCCAAGAACCCTCAGTCCCAGTGGATCCCAGTCACCCCGAAAGGGCTTCCAACTTGGTGTTTGAAGGGTGAAACCAATTTTTGGGTACAATTAGGAAACCAGAAAATCACGATGATCAGCAGCATTTTCTTTTCATCCAGTGGCTTTGGGTGAAGGCTGTGTGTCCTTTTTGAAGTGGCACCCCGGTTTTTGGGGCTTGAGCAGATCCAACCCAAAGCTGGGCCCCATTTCGGGGGCTCGCTCGGTCACGCTACCCATAGGTCCTGTAGAGAGGTTAGAATAAGTTGGTACCCTTTTTTCTGTAGTCTATTTTAGTAGGGGAACCCTCCCAACCAAAAAAGGGGAGAGAAAGGGCACCTGGCTGGGGGACCTAGAAAATGTGGCTTCACCCAACTTTAGGGGAACCCTCCCAAGCAAAAAAAAGGTAAAAGTTGGCACCTAGCTGGGGGACCTAGCATAATTCGGCTACCCGCGAGAAGCTGATCCCATGGGGGCGTTGGATGCGGACTCAGACCCTCCAAGTCGTGCGCCTTTTAGGGTGTCTGTTGGACAAACGAACAAGCGGGATATGCAGGGCCCGGCAATATGGGGGGATTCCAACTTGGCGCCATTTCCCACCTAAGACCCCATATGGCCGTTTTTTTAGGTCATACACTTTTGACCAAACAAAAATGGACGGCATATCAAACTTAGTCAAGGCGCCTTTAGAGGGAATCCTCCCGTCAACTGGTTCCCCCTGTATCCCTGCTAGTTGGCTTCCCTGATTTCTGCACTAAAGGTAACACGCTCTGCGCATCTTTCTGGCGGAAGGGAAGAACCCGCCACGCCCACATCTTCCTCACCCGTTGACCCCAACCAAAGCTAACAAGGGAAAGTATGCTTCATGATTTGATTCTAGATTGTTGTTTTACAGATGTAACGTACTTGAAGGAGATCCCAAACATGCACGAGCTGCTGTTCCTGTTCAGGAAGCATCACGTGCGTCGCAAAACAGCCATGCACATGACATGAAGCGCGCGGCGCAGGCTTTTTTCTTGTGCTTGGCAAACGGTGCACGTGAAAAAAGAGAGGGCTCAGCTGGCTTCCTCGTCCTTCCAATCCCATCTGCTCGCAAGACGTGGCTGGATGAAAATCCTCGACTTGCGGAGCCCATCTCTTCATCCAATCCTTAGTCAAAGGAGCACTGGCTGGAGGAAACGTGGGGCATATGTCATCACTTCCATTTTCGCTGGCTGATGTCGCCGAAAAAAACCAGCTGGACAAAGAAACAAACCTCGGTTGCTTTCTGCTCCCCTGCTAAAAGTTTAACTTTTAGTGGTTTAGTGGAAAACCCATTAGTTGGCAAAAAGTTAAAGTCCTAACAGCCAAGCAAAATGCACCAAAGAAACAGTTCACTTCAAGCACCTGGAAGTCCTTGGTAGGGAAACACAAAGACCCATGCTTCCCCTTCAAAGATCACCCCCAGCAATAGGACACTCACTTCCAACTGACCCACAACTGATGTGTAAAACTACCAGCATGGAGAAATGTAGGGCGCCCCGAACCAACAGAGCGAAGCAGTAGAGCACGACCGAAACTGCCAGAGGGGTTCCACATGATCAGAGACGCCCCCTGGTTTTGTGAAACATTTCTCCAAAGTCCCTCATGCCCATAAACGTTATATGGCAGCTCAATAAAATGTACTCGAATGGCACCTGGGGAAATAGAACCCACTTTGGTGGATTGCCGTTCATCAACAAAGAGCGGACCCATACTGAACCAAAGACTAAAGCCTGCATAACCCTAGCTGCTCAATTTTGAGCCAGACCCATATAAATGAATAGTTCGTCTAAACCTCACATGCCACCGGTCGTCTCAGTTGAAGAAGTAGCTGGAGAAGAGCACCGACAAGATGCAGATCCTCAGCGATGGAGCCGCTTAACTTCCATTTGCTTTCTCGCCCCCGGGGAAAAATATGTCCAGTAGTGATAGGTTCCCTTTAATACCAACAGGGGAAAATAAATATACTCTTAACCAAATGGAAGTTAAGGGGGAAGGCACCCATTTTCTTGCTTGCTGTTTTCTTCGGGGGAGGGATTCAGTTTGGGAGGTTGCCAAAATAGATCCCTTGGTGCTATCCATGGGGTTCCATGATGTTTGACGGCCATCTTGCGCAATCCTAAAACTAAGGGGACGTCCACACGGTTGACTAGGAGTGCATTGACTGCCGGTCGACCAAAGATCAAATCGGGCTGTGGCTGGCGGTTTTAGTTGAGAACCAACAGCAGGAAAGACCACTGTGAAACATATGGCGCTTGATCAAAGGGTTGTTTACATGGGGCCCATTCAGCAAACCACCAAATCCACGACTTTCCCTTGTTTAACGAGAACAGTTGCCCATGGTCCTTTGGGGGCCAGAAATATTGATCTACCCCCATACGTCGGGAACAGACTTGTCAACAACATGGCAAAGCGTGAGGAAAGGCCTTGGAAAAAGGGCACCCACTTTTGTCTGTAGTCTATTTTAGTAGGGGACCCCTCCCAACCAAAAAAGGGGTGAGGGCACCTAGCTGGGGGACCTAGACAAGAAAGGAGCACCAGGCCGGCAGGAACTGGTTCCCCACGGCTTCTCTGGTCCAGCCAGGGGTGACACCTGGCCTTGAGAGAGGAAGAGTCCACTCAAAAAGATGCATTTGTGTCATACACCCTCTTGCATTTGTGTTTGTTTGGACGGCGAGAGAGAGCAATTTGAAACAGAAACTCGCTTCCTGAGTTGATTGGCCAAAAAAAGTCCAAACTTTTTGTTTACCACCAAAATGGTCTTCCCAAAAAGTATAAAGTCCATGAACTCAGGGAGTGAGGAAACCAATCGTGAGGACACGACAGGTTGCCGCTAGGACCCCCCGAAGGACGAGAGAATCAGCCACTTGATGAGTGGGGAACCAGCAGCAAAACAGGAACGAGTTGCGGAACATGTGAGGGGTGCAAAGATGATTGCCAAATAAGAAGGAGAAACGAACCTTTTCTGCAACCATCACCTGGCATTTGAGGGGGGAAGAATCAAGCGGGCGAGCAAAATGGGCTGAACTAAGAACAAGACGGGGCAGACTGCCAGAAGCACGCCAAGAGCAGAACAATCATAGAGCTGCTTTGAACCCGCAGGAACCGTGAAACCAGGAGAAAAACCCAGGGAAAACCACCAAGACCAGGTGGATTCCCGCTCTGGTATTGAAAGAGGGGGGCCCCAAGGGAAGGGCTTCCTCGCGCCCTGGAGACCAGTCTGAATGCGATGCTGAAACCTTTTGCCTGAAAGAAAACGCATTCAAACACGGACCTTTCCTTGGTTGACGCTGGAAGGGGAGCAACAATTTAAATGCTAGCAGTAAAGTGGTTGGATTTCAACCACTAAGCCACAATAAGCAAACATGTACAATGCTTCCCAACAACAACAACCATGTTCAGAAGGAGTCAAAGTCAGGTCGCGGGTCCCGGAGTCGATTAAAGTCGCTAAGCCTGCAACCTGCAACCTGATCCTTCATAGATCCAAAAGGACACCAGAACGCGTGAAGCAACCTGCGGCACATTTTTCGGTGCGCCGTGCTCCTGCAGTGAGTCAAAAGGGCCCCCAGAACCTATAAACAGAGGGGTTCTGAGAGCTCCCCTTTGAACATCACCCAAGAAATGCAGATGTTTAAACCACCCAAGACAGGGCTACTCGGGAAACAACAAGCCCCCCCCAAAGAAAAAAAAAGCAGCAAACACCTGGCCGGGGGGGGGGGGGGAAATGCAGAACGGCGAGCCCCAAAAACGAGCTGCAACAAGAATCCCCACAAACAAACGCCCCAAATCCCCCAACGAACAACCCCAACTTCCTAAACCCTGGTTAAAACCAGCCTGGGGAAAAAACAAGAAGCAATCTCCTCCCCCCTCATACACAAAAAAAAAACGGACCTCCGCCCGGAAAAACCGAGTTCCACGCTTCCATCCCACCCTCTCAAGACAAGAAGGACAAAGAACCGCCTGGACGAGTTCAACGCCATACGGGCCAAACAAATGTTCTTCGTTCGTCCAAACACGCTCGTTCGAGCAGGGATCCTTACATGAAAAACACCTGAACATTGCAACTTGTAAATTGTGTTTTTTCTAACTTTATTTTGGTGTTGAAAAAGCACCATGTTTCAAATGGTTGCAAAATGTATCTTTTAAGGAGAAATACCCTACTCCAAATACCCCCTATTTTTCTGGTTGGTAAGTTGAACCCATGCCTAAACCAGGGCCTTCTATTTTTTAAGCAAACCAACCAAAAACGACACCTATGGCCCAAAACGAACGTTCGTGTTCGAGGCACAGCAGCAGGCCCCAGTAGAGAGAGGTGCGGTTCAGCTCCACGGGCAGCATGGCGTCGTTGGGCCGAGGCTCCGGCAGGGCCTGGCGAGTGCAAGTCCCAGCGATTTGGGGGGGCAAGGAGAGGGGGGATTGGGGGGGAGGGGTGGGGGGGGGGGGGTTCGGCTGCCTTATTGGGGGGGGGGTTCCCAAATCATATGAACAAGATTGATAAGAAGCAAACGAGTCGTGTGTACTTCTTCTTTTCAAATCGTGGGTACGAAGAACTAGTCGATGGCACACCCCCTTCTCGTCCCGAACTGAAGATGGGGGATCCCCTTTTCTCCCCCCCAAAAAATGTTGCCTTTCCCTTAAACCACCCCAACCAAAAATGGCAGCCTCAAACAAAAAAAACAACCTTCCCCCATGCCTCCCCCCCCACGTCCCCCCCCCAAATAATGTTTCCTGTAAGCACCCCTCCCCCCCCCTAGGTCGAAGTGGCGGCTTAGAGCCGAATCGGTGTTTTGGCGGTTAAGGGGTGGTTTCCCATTTACCCTCCACGAGAACAAGGGCTTCAAATCACCAAACCACCAATCTAAGCCCAATGAATGAGGTGCCTGACACCTGACACCTCTCCCCAACTTTTCCTTGTTGTGGGTGGTAAAAGAAAGGGAAAGCAAAAGGAACACCAGTTTCGGGGGTTCCGGGACTAGGTCCTCCAGTACAGAGGCTAGAATAAGGGTACCAACTTCTTTCGGCAGTCTATTTTAGTAGGGGAACCCTCCCAACCAAAAAAGGGATGAGAAAGGGCCTCCCCCCTGGGCCGCGCCTTCAGCACGAGGCGCGGGGCGTCCCCGGCAGCTCCCACGGCCTCGACCGTGGCGCCGGCAAAGGCTCCGCGCAGCGCCGGGCTGGAGACCACGAAGACCTGAAGCAAAATCGGTAAAAGTTACTAGGTCCTCCAGTAGACAGTCGGTTGACCCAATTCAAAGTGACCCATTTTGGGTATAACCCCCCCCTGTAAGAAGTTTTTAACCCCCACTTGGGAGCACTTATAAGTGGCCTAGGTCCTCCAGTTTTGGAGGTTAGAATAAGGGTACCCGATTTTTTCCTGTACTCTATTTTAGGGTACCCAAAAACGGTAAACGTTAAAACTTGGTAGACGTTGGATGAGGAGAACAAATATCAAATGTTAGCAGTTAAGTGGTTGGATTTCAACCACGCAACCACAATAAGCAAGAATGTAAATTGTTTCCCAACACCAACCCTGAAAAGAGTCTACTAGTCTCATTTCCTTTCCTTTCCGTTCCTTTCATGTCATGTCCGTTCCTTTCCTTTCCGTTCCTTTCATGTCATGTCATTTCCATTCCTTTCCTTTCCGTTCCTTTCATGTCATGTCATGTCCATTCCTTTCTTTTCCGTTCCTTGCATGTCACGTCATTTCCGTTCCTTTCCTTTACGTTCCTTTCATGTCTTATCATTTCCGTTCCTTTCCTTTCATTTCCATTCCTTTCATGTCATGTAATTTCCGTTCCTTTCCTTTGCGTTCCTTTCATGTCATGTCATTTGCGTTCCTTTCCTTTCCGTTCCTTTCATGTCATGTCATTTCCGTTCCTTTCCTTTCCGTTCCTTTCATTTCATATCCTTTCCTATCCATCCTTCTTGCCTTCTTCACCTTTTTCCCCCACCCTTAAACATGGAGTCGTTTACCACAAAGGGTCATGACCCCTTCTGGAGACTCCATAAATCCCGGATTCCCTTTGGTATCCCTCCCAAAAAGGGTACCCTCTAAAAAAAAAAAAAAAAACGCACACACACACACAACTGCTTTGCCCAAAGCCGTAGAAAAAACACCCAAAGAGTTAAAACGCCGGTCACACCTATGATTGGCTGGGACTATTCCTTGCTAACCTTCATCTACTTGTGTTTTGTTTGTGGCTCGTTTGAGCTTCACACCGGGGTGAGAGTAGATGGCATAAATGTCCTTTATGTAGGTAAGTAAAGGGAATCATGGTGTGACTAAACCAACATAGAGGAATTGTGCCACCTACTTTCATCCAACCGGGTGTGCTTCGAAGGGAAATCCAAGGTTCCTGTTACAGCGTCTCTTAGACAGAAAAAGAGAAACGGATTCCTTATAAAGTGTTTCTTGTTTTAGAGTGGGTGCCCTTTTGAGGGCTTGCCCAACGGAAAACCAACGGCGAAAACCAGTTGGTAGGATGTTGCAAGGGTCATTTGCGGAGATGCTTTGCGTGCTTTGCGGGTTCCGAGTTTCCCATGCTTTGACGTCTCTCATTAAGCACTGTTGCAACATGTAGTAACCTCATGGTGTTTCTGGCTTAAAGACTAGCTGGTTGCTTGCACTGCCCAGCCTCCTCCTGAGGCTGACTGGAAGAGAAGAGGTAGAGGCAGGCGAGCATGGCCAAAACGAAAGACATCAGTCGGGACGCCATGGCTCCTGAAATATGCGAACGTCGAGTAACGTCTGTGCCCACCTCTGCTTGAGCCCAAATCTGCACAGTCGAGGGGCAAGCATAGCGGGGCAAGCATATGGGTATATACTACGTATGTCTATGCATATTATATATATATATACACACACACACTATGTTTGCATATTGGGCTGTAGCAAGTCGCATCTTCTACTCCAAACAGCTGGCATGGCGATAGCAAAACACGGGTTTGCACCCGGACTAAGAATGATCAGGACCAAAACTGCACAAAAACCAGGCGCAACTTGCAATGAATTTGCAATGACCCGTGGAGCCAAGCATACATGACTGGGCTGCCCGTTCTCTGATTTTCCGCTAAAAGTGTAGCGAACTTTTATCCCTTGTCCACATCTCTCCATTTCCTTCATCTCTTTCTCCGTCCCATCTTGAAGTGAATTGGGGACGGGAAAAGACAAGAGAGAAAGAGTGATTGTAGGTGAAAAGGATTCTTTCTTCTAACCGTTACATCTTGGAAATCCTAAAGTCAACAAACAATAATAAAAAAGACAAGATAAAGAAAAGCAGTTAATCAAGATGAAGTGATTTAGAGATGAAAGTAAAAGAAAAGCATTAATTCAAGAGCTTACAAACAATGCAAATATTAATATAAAAATGAAATCCAAAAAGTAGAAGATAGAAAGATGAAAAGGCATGGGATAAAGGGAATGCTGTCAAATAACCCAAAAGCATCCAAAAGTTAATTAAAGATATAAAAAGAAAGGTAATGGCAAACAATAAAAGAAGCATTCCATGAAAGAAGAAACCAAATAAGAAGACAAATATCCTTTCCTTCCCATTCATTCACTTGTCGCCCAACCTCTGTTTCCAAGTTCATTCATTCCCTTCTATTCCTTCTCCTTGACTCGTCCTCAGGTCTAACTGGTGGGCGAGAGGAAAGGAGGAAAGTGGGTCAAATTCGGAAGCTACCACTAAACACTAGAAGGATCCAAAAAGCTAAGTTGAACCGGATGGCTGGGAGCTACCTAGATGACAGCAGTCACCAGGCAGAGGCGGCCAGTCATCCAAAACCTCTGGCTCCATGCATCCGGGATTCCCAATGAGCACAGTCCATGGTTCTACCTGGAGTCTCCATGACCCTTTAAAAATGCGTCCATGACCAACCATTATTTTGGGTAATGACCCTATTTTTAAAGGGTCATGGAGACTTAAAAATGGGGGCATTACCCAAAATAATGCGGTCATGGACCTATTTTTTAAGGGTCCTTAGGCAGACTCCAGGTAGGCAAACATGTGCTTCAAGCTGCCATGAGCTGAAATGGGTATGGGTCAAAATGCTTTGGTCTGGGGGTTACCATATGATTGACCCACAGCCAAATGGCTTGGCTCGAGGAGATTGGTACTCAAAATGGCTTGCCCCGGTAAATGGAACCAAGGACTAAAACCTCCGGCACCGATTCCTGGTTAAATGTTGACCCATACCCATTTCGCACCACCTAAGCAACCATGGAATGATTCGATTCCCCAACGTAAATACCACCCAGGGGACCCCCCCGGCTGCAGACCCCCCAACCTGCCGCACAGCAACTTTCAAAACCCCCTCGCGCCTTCAAGTCGCCGTCAGAGTAGGCGTAGACCCTGGGCACAGACAATGTCAGTTAACTTAGACCGACAGGGAAAATGATCTGGTCGCCGAATCCGTGCACACCTGGCAACTTTGGTTGCCATCAAACCTCGGCGGGTTCCCTACTAGGTCCTCCAGTCGAGAGGTTAGAATAAGATGGTACCAACTATTTTCCGTAGTCTATTTTAGTTGGGGAACCCTCCCAACCAAAAAAAAGTTTAAAAGGACACCTGGCTGGGGGCCTAGCCCCAAAAACCAGACGAGCCAAATGTCTCTTGCGCGGCATCCGGCTCGGGAGGCTGTCGATGCGAGTTTGGCGACACAAGAGCAATGAGCGGTGAGAGAAAAAGAAATTCGCCGGCTGGTCAACGAGCGAAACCCAAAACAAGTTTCCAGCCTGCATCTAGGCTCTAGGCATATCCATGGGTCTCCCTTGGAAAGGTAGCTTGCTGTGTGTGGCCAGCTAAGTTACCAAGGGAAAACTACGCACATCCCGGTGCATTTGGAAGGAGGGTGGCATTACCCTTCAAAAGCGGGAAAGTCCTTTGAGGCCCAATGAACGCCATAAAGTGTTGGGTCAAACGCCTCTCCAGTTCACCTACAAAACACACAAGTTGCCTCGAGAAATGACGGTTCTGCGCCCGACAACACTCCAACAGACTCCAAATGGTGTTTTGTATCCAACCTTAGTTACCTCGGAAAAATGAGGGCTTTAACCCCCGATTTGCTCTAAAGCACGCCTTGAAGAGGGTGTTGCATGGTGCTTTTTAAGGGGAGACGCAACTGCCGTCGCCGAAGCGAGCGCCCAGCCTGCTGCCAGAGTACTCCATCAAGTACAGGAGTGGCCTCGATGGAACTTTGGAGCCAAATGGTGTCCTTCGGAAGAATCAAGAAACAAGAAATAAGAAGAATTAAACAAATAATGGAAGAAGAAACTGGAAGAAGAAACAACTTGAAGAAACTGGAATAATAATAAGAAACTGGAAGAATTAAAGAAATCAGAAGATTTATTCTGCGTCCTTGGAGGAATCGTGAAGCTTCGGATTGAAAGATACGAGTCCAAAACTGAAAATTAAGACCAGCCTTGTTCCCTTCCATGAGCGAGCTTTGAAAACCCCCCGGATGAGCTTGTTCTCATTTCTCCCGATATGGCACTGGTGCATGAATGGAACCAAACTGAAACCAGCGCCATCTATTGTCAATGAAACTGACCGAAAAGGACACCTAGTCCCTGCGTCGTCAAAACGAGCTTGCCAATTTTGGGACTCGCTTTGAAAGTTTCGCCCGTCGAGATCAGTGCCAATTGACATCTACTCATGCACCAAAGAAGTCTATTATCCCGTCTAGTAACACCATTTTGCAGTTGGATTTACTGCTTGTCACATTGGTATAACACTATTAGCATGTTTGTGTCGGCGGCTTCAGCAGCCAGTGCGCACATTGCAAACAGAACCATCCAACAACAGCCGAACGGCCAAACGGGGAAATCCAGATATGTCTTCCATGTGTGCAAAAACAATGCCGCATGACAACCGTAAGATGCTTCAAATTCAAACTGGTACTGGGTCTTAAGTGGGGGTCATAGAGAACCATCCCACTGGTACCGTTGAACTCCTGCACAAAGTGGAGGGATCCGAAAGATACGGATTTTGGGCCCTGACACAAGTTGGGGACAAATGGAAGAACAAGGGCCGGGAGGTCAGAAAGGACAAACTAGAGAACTGCCAAGTTGCTTTGACTGGCACGTATGTGAGTCATAATCATAATCAAAACCTGGTACTAAACTGGTCTACCCAGAACCATGTAAAGAGTTACAAGGGCGGCTGCACCCATTTATACCTTAACCTTCATCTACCCGAATCGGTTTTGAGCAAGTCGCTCACGTGAGGTCGCCGGAATTTGTGCAATGTACCCCCTACTCCAAATACCCACGTTTTTTTGTCTTGTTTAATGTATTTTTGAAAAAAAACTGGGTTTCCATGGTAAATACCTCCTTTATTAGTAGAGGGTCGACATCATGCCCTAGAAAATGGCCGGGTATTTGGAGTAGGGGGAATGTTGGACTTTCAAAGGATGCTTTCGAACAGTTTGCTCGCCTTGCGCCTAGGTTGGATTGGTGAAGGGCGTTGGGTGTTTGATGTGGTTCGGACTGGGGGACTGGGGAGTCAACTCCCCATCCAAACCAGGGCGATGGAGCTCGGCTTCCTCGGCACCCCGTTTCAGTCGTAAGACCGTTTACTCAGTTGCTCAGTGACCATGGAATAAAGGGGAACCCTTTTTGGGGAAGACCATGTTTAGTGGGGCAGCCACCAAAAAAAGAAGAAAAAGGGTGCCACTGACCAACTGATATTATTTCGTTTGACCCTCTGGAGCGATTACTTCAGGGTTTACTTTTACCCCCCCCCCCGAATCTAGAGATTTGGGGGGACCCCGTTTGACGCTCTGCCAGAGCGAAAAAATACAGGGTTCGTTTTTTTCTTGCGCGCCCGCCCCTCCAAAGAAGATTCGCAGGAGCAAACCCGACGTGTCACGTTCAGGCTGTAGGTTCCCAGGTTCCAAAAACGAGGGTGGCTTGGGTTCCTGGATTTCCAGAGATGCCATGAAGACTCGTGCATGTCAAGGTCGCCAACATGCCGATGGCAAATGGCACATCTGTTGGGCAAAAGCCATGCGCCAGCATTTCAGATCTCTGCGCCCTCAAACACGGGGCAAACACCGGCGAAGAGATCCCCACGGAGGTCAGGGATGGTGGTTCCTATCCAACAACGATGATTCTTCCTGGAGTCTCCATGAGCCTTTAAAAATGGGGTCATTACCCAAAATCCGCCGACCCTCGGACCGGCGTGGGATGCAACTGGAAGTGATTGGAATCAATGATAGTCCCTGGGGGGCACGCCCGACCGCACAAAAAGTGGATTCCCAGGACCGGTCCCGGGACTGGTCCCGGGACCGGTCCTGGGACCAGTCCTGGGACCGGTCCTGGGACTGGTCCTGGGACCCTGGTTCTGCTGTTTCAGATTACTTGCAGTCAGCCAAAACCGGTCCTGGGACCGGTCCCGGGACCGGTCTGGGGATCGAGTCCTGGTGTGACCGCTGGTACTTCAAATTGCTGTGGTGCGACCTTTCCGGACTGGCACCCAGGACACTCGACAGGGTCCCAGGTCGTCACTGATTGCGACCAGTTGAGGGGGACCAACAGCCTTGTTTCTAGGACCAGCTCAACGTGACTTCGGCACAAACCGGCCCGCGTGGTTATTGACGGACGAGCTGTCATCTGTCTGACTTTTCCGTTAATCCTTGTGGTAGTAGAGGATCCCTGGATCTATTCTGCAAGAGAGTCCAATACGTCGAGTCAAACCGCGCCAGACTGGGACCAGCCTGGATAGGGTCCCAAGTCCCGGTCCCTGCCGGCGACCGGTCCAGGGCAACTTCGGGAGGGCCAGTTTCAGGGCGACCCCGGGAGAGGCGCCAACTCGAAGTGACTTGGGCGCAAGCCGGCCCAAGCGGTAATTAACGGACTAGCTGCCCTATTTCTGACTTTTCCGTTAATCCTTGTTTGTGGTCGTAGAGGATCTTCTAAGTGGTCCCCGGGTTTGCGGACGTGTTTCAGGACCGGTCCTTGTGACTTTTCCCTTAATGCGCCGAGGGTCGGCGGCAGCAGGCGGGAGCCTGGTTAATAATGGGGTCATGGACCCATGTTTAAAGGAGCATGGAGACTCCAGGTTCAAGGCGCCTGGGTTGGATGTAATTTCTCTTGAGGAGACGTGTCGATCGGCTCGACTCCCTGAACTGCCAAGAACCCTGATCGAGATACCAAACCAGCCAAGTGTCCGAAGCGACCACCCTTAGATTGTTTAAACGATATTGTAGGTGTTCATTTGCTTAAGCCCCCTGGAAAAAAACAATCCAGTATACTCATAGGTTTCCTTTGAAACCAACAGGGGAACAAAATATTCTTAAGCAAATGGAAGCTTGAGATTTCTAAGCCACACCACCCCATTCTGAAGAGCTAACCCAATTATCCCCCAAAATGGATGCAACAACAATTGCCATCGAAGCAGTCCACCCAAGCAAGGCTAAAACTCAACTGTTCCTATTCTCTCCCTTTGCCAACTCCGAGCAGCCCACCACGCCCCTCCCAACCAGGGGCGGTCAGCCTTGCCCTTCTTATTTTGCCCACATCCATGTCATGAATCATTGCCAAGGCGACACTGACAAACATAAAGCCCGTGGCTTCACGGCAAGCATTGACGCATCCTCCTGATGGCACCGCGGGCCCCTCATCAGCCAACCCATCAAAGTGGTGCCCGCGATCCAATTTTCCACAAGCTTCCAATTCACTTCCTCATTCTTTCAATGGGGGCCCCCCACGCAGAGGTTGTCATCACTTTCGGAAGGAAAGACCGGAAATCCTAGAAAATTGGATGCTTGGAAAGAATGGATTTTAACCGAAAATATGGCCTCATACAATACTTCCCCATTCTTTCTGGCTTTCCAATTTTCACCCAAAACAGATGCAAAAGCAAAAAAAGAGTAACAGGGACACACTGATCGTTGATCGAAAGAACGATGCTGGGGGACAGAATGATGGGGTGGGGAAGAAGGGAAATAATGATGGTTGTTGGGAAAGAACGATGGTTGGGGAAAGAACGATGGTTGGCCCTGGGGAAAGAACGATGGTTGTAGGTAAAGAACAATGCCCCTAAAAACAGAACGCTGCCAGTAAGATCGATGGCCTGCAGCGGCATGACTTTGGCAGGTCATGGAAAGGGGTTGTCTAGTCTATTGGCCCTACCCCTAGCGCTGCAGAAAAAAAAAAAAAAAACTGAGCCGAAACCGGCTGGAAAGACCGATCGTTGCACTGAGTGCGCGTGTGACGAAAGAATGGGGAATCACCCCTTAGAAGATTGTTTAAACCACACTGCAGGCTTCCATTTGCTTGTTTGACCCCTGGAAAAACAAATACATCAAATGTGACCAGTCATAGGTTCCCTTTAAAACCAACAGGAAAAAATAAACGATATTCATTTCAGCACATGGAAAAGCAGGCCTTCAAACTCGCAAGGCTTCGGTCTGAGTCAAAGAACCTTCGACTCGCGCCTATGCATCACGCCGATGAGGAATCGTACTGCCTTTGAATACTCCTGGCGCAGACTCGTCGGGCAACCGGGAAGGCCTCGAGGCTTGGCTGGTAAAAATCGGATCGGACCCCGGCGAAATCATGTGATCTTTTTTGCCTGGTGGGTGGAAAACCAAGGGGACCCCAAAAAAGCAAGCAAAAAAGAAAAGAAAGGGGAGCTAACTCTGGGGAAGGACTCTTTGTCGTCTAAAGCGTTTGACTAAATACATAAATAAACCAACAAATAGCTACGTATATAAGTTATATAAGTAAGCAAACAAAAACCAAGTGGCTTCTCCCTTTGGTTCCCCTTTGCAGCAACCTAAACAAGGCGTACCTTCAAACACACAAAACCGGGCAACCGCAGTCACCTTCGGGCGTCAGAAGGCGATTCACGCGTCTGTGACAGGCGCAGCTAGCGTTGCTATCTGCGATCCATGTAGCAACTGACACAACTTGATGCCCGACTTAGGGTTTGGGGTTTGGGCTTTTGTGGTTAGGGCTTGGGGTTTTATTAAAGCCCTTCCCAAAGTAAAACGGACTTGTGTTTTTGAATGCCACGAATCCTGCACCAAGTTGGGGATGGATGAAACCATAGAACTACTGGGATGAACCACCTACCAACTGGTGCAGGCATTTGTATCATTTGTCCATCCACAATGCTTGAGGATGCGTACTGCGAAGCATGACGCCAAAGATGGGTTGGCAGGTTCCCATCTTCGTGACAACCTTCCGGAGTAAGGGGGTGTTTACCTCAAAAGTGAAGGACAACACTTAGGGGGCAACCGCCCTATGAATCCAAGGGGTGTATTCATCAACCGGATTCCTATGCATGTCAACCCCGGAGTCATCTGGAGTTTCCTAGTCAAAGGCATCCCGAAAGGCTTTGGATCCCTAATGCGAAACCGCCCTGATTCATTTGGGTTTGTCTCAAAGTACCCTCAAAATATGATAGGTGTCCTTCTCAGTTGCCCAAAGGACCTGCAACTAAAAGGTTAACCTTTTGGGCCATAAACATGGACCAAAATGGGAAAACCAAAAGGTCAGATCTGGTCAAAAGGTCGGCTTTGAACGGCTGAGCCTGTTGTGTTCCCTTGAAGCTCCTTTTGGGCTTCACGCCCTCTTTGCTGTGGGCCGGCAAGCCCCATGCACGTCTGAGCGGTGGCGTGCCTTGGGACAAAAACGCTACCCTCACCCTTTGTTGGTCCTCCTGATTTGCCAGTTCCTGATTTTTTGGTCCTCTGATTTCTGTTTTGGTCATGTTCCCGTCCTGCTTCATGCCAGAAAACCATAGCAGCAGGCAAAGCACCTGAGCGAGCTCACTCATTTTTTGGGCTGTGGCTCACAAATAGGGTACCCCCCACCCTCCTTGGTTGACGTTGGAAGGAAAGAAATTAATTTTAGCAGTTCAGTGGGAAATGGGGATTTCCCACTAAACCACAATACAACATGAAAAATGATTCACAACAACAACCATGTCCCTAAGTTTGTAGAAATCAACACAAACAAATATGAAATTTCCAGAGTCTATCATTTGAGCCATTAAGGGTGTGGTTGCTCCTGTGTTGCTCAATGTTGCTCCTGTGCATTTGTCGGGGTGAACTATAACCAACAAGCCGCAAGAAGGTAAGAACCCAAGAAAGGAACCTTTGTGAGGGACGTTCGTGACGTTCTTGTAGATCAAATTCCCCCCAAAGGCACATTCGCATTGACCCCCAAAAGCAAGGGGGCCTTTTTGCCAGCTTTCGTGGAAAAATGATTGACTCCCTCGTAGTGACGGGTTCCTTTTTGAGGGGGTCGCCAATGTTCTCACAAAAGCGGTCCCTGCCCAAAAGCGGATCCTCCATCTCCATCTGAAGATTGAGGGCTTGTGGCTTCTGGCAAGTGAGGCAGAAAAAAACACCTTGCACAGAGCAAAAGACGCTGAGCAGGGGAAGATTGAGAGAATCCTCGACATCAACTACCAATTGAAACAACTCGATCCTCAACTTGCCAAGTTGCTCGTTGGCCCGAAACTTAACATCCACTAAACTACTGTTAGCATTTAGTCCAAGGCGACTCGCCTGAATATCCAGGGTTCACAATGAATGCCCTGAAAGCATTACGCAATGCGAGACTTTGCAAGTGGAAGAGGGAAACTGGTTGAAGAGTTGACTCTTTGTTTGATGCTTTCTTCTCATCGGAATGCCAGTGGGCGCCATCCAATCTTGCAAGCCATTTAAGGGAATGAACAATGTATACTCATTGGTTCAAGACTTGGATTCACTACAGAGAGCCTTCAGAGGTCCTTGGGTCCCTTGAGTACTTTTTAAACTCGCCCGCTGATAATTCACAACCAACCAGTTTCTTTCAATTGGCCGATGGTTCAAAACCAATCCTTAGCCCTTAATCCACAGAAACACCATGTTTTTGTTTTTTGTTTTTCAAGCCAACAAACCTGACACGTGTTGGTAGCGGTTTCCCTGTAGTGGCGGCTTGCGGATTGGGTCGGGGATCTCCCCTTTTGAAGCGCTCAATCCAATTTCCTCTTGGTTTCCCTTCAAAAGACGGCCATCTGACAGTTCAACAGGTCCCCCAGTAGTGCCCTTTTACCCTTTTTTGGTTGGGAGGGTTCCCCTACTAAAATAGACTACAGAAAAAGGGTTCTGACCTCTCTACTGGAGAATCTAGGTTAAGTTGCATGAGCTATAAGCCCGTCCCGACAGGCCATGAGCTTGTCTTAGAATCGGGACCTCCCATGGACAGTTTGCCAGTTGAAAGCGCTTCTTGGGCAGGGCTCCTTAAAAGATACATTTTGCCCATTTCAAACATGGATTTTTCCACCAGAATAAAGGGAAACCACCATTTACAAGGCCACGTTCAGGTGCTTTTCATGTAAGGATCCCTGTTGGGGCTACCCGGAAAAGAATACAAACCTACGAACTCTCACGAGGTGTATACTGTAAGGATCCCTGTTTACCCGGAAAAGAATGCAAACCTACGAACTCTTAGGGATGAGTTTAGTGAGATCGTTTGGTGTTTGGAGGGGTCGGGCCTGAAGCCTAATTCTTTCTGGGCTCTGGGGGAAGCTGACTTTGGCCCAGCCTGTGCTGTGAAGAACCGCACCTTTGCCTGTTACGGCACCAACTTTTTTTCTGTAGATTATTTTAGTAGGGGAACCCTCCCAACCAAAAAAGGGTAAAAGGGCACTACTGGGGGACCTATTGAACTGTCAGATGGCCATCTTTTGAAGGGAAACCAAGAGGAAATTGGATATGTTCTAGCGTCTTATCTCTCTCCTCCTTGGCTGTCCAAGCTACTCTAGGTCCTCCAGTTTTGGAGCTTAGAATAATTTTGGTGCCAACTTGTTTTTTCTGTCGTCTATTTTAGTAGCGGAACCCTCCCAACCAAACAAGTTGGGAGACAAAGGGCACCCAGCTGGGAGACCTAGTACTTGGCAACTGCGTGCGTGGTTTAGAACCATAAACTATCCGCGGTGTCTCGCCATTACGCATGCTTGCAACCTTGGCTTATATGTCGGAGTGATATATGACCTCATTATAGAGAGGCATGCAAATCGACTTGCCAAGTGGTCTTAACATCTAGGCTGGAATTAGGACCCCAGCAAACCAAATATGTTTGCCTGGTTTGTGGGAAACAAAGAGGGACCCCAAAAATGAAAAAAAAAAAAAAAAAAACGGAGCTGATTCTGGGGAAGAAATTAGCTTGCAAACTAAGTGGGTTGCAACTTACTCACCATCTGGGGCAAGTGGGTTATATGTCGCTACATGCCTTCCATGTGAGCCACAGATATTACCTCCCTTCCCTTTGCTTTGCGCCCCCTGGAAAAAATGAGAAAATATTTCCAGTAGTCATAGATTCCCTTTAAAACCAACAGGGGAAAATAACAAATATTCTTCAGCAAACGGAAGTTCCCCAAGAGGACCTGGGAAAAGTCGGGCTCTCCAGAAGTTTGACGTGAGTCCCTGTCCTTCCCAAGTAAACCCAATCGAATGGACATGTGGGGGCTGATCAATATCCCCCCCAAGTGTCCATGGGTCACTTTTCCCGTGTGGTTGAGATAGCATCTCTTTTCCGTGGCTTTCCCCAATGGTCATCCTACGTTTATCGGACCACTTGTGGGTTAGGGTTTAGGGTGCCAACTTTTTCTGTAGTCTATTTTAGTAGGGGAACCGAATCTCCCAACCAAAAAAGGGGAGAGGGGTCGTGCACCTAGCTGGGTGGCCTGGCCAAGCTTTTAGAAATCTACACAAACGCAAAGGCCATTCTCAAGGTCTTTCATTTTGAGCAGGGTTGTGGGGAATGACCACTTCTGTGATACAACAGAAAGGGCTTCCCAAAGACTAACCCCCCATAGAAAGGGGAGATTCCCTTGTATCACAGAAGTGAGGAAAACCCCCTTGATCCCACAACCCTGATTTTGAGCCACTAGCACAGGTGTGGCTGAAAACGATCAGATTTTGAAAGATGATTGCTCCATGTTGCTCCTGTGCATGTGTCAGGGACAAAGAAAGGGCACCTAGCTGGGGGACCTACTGTGGATAGACGAAATCCTGCACCACCTAAGAAACCCGAGAATGTTGATTCCCCTGCAAATACCAACAAACAACGGTTTCTCATGGATTCAAAGTGGTGCGAAATGGATTTCGTCCATCCACCGTTGGGGCGGAATTTGAAGTACAATAACGTCCCTCACAAGGCGGCGGGGTTTGGCCGATTTCACCCGTAAAGGTTCCCTTCTTGGGGAGAGGTCGGGCAACCTAGCTGGGGAACCTAGCATTTGATTCAACCAACCTCCAGTGATCAAGCTGAGCGCCTGCAGGCCGGCGCAGGTGGCCGCAAACCACACCAAGGCCGGCAGGGCCTCAACAGCTTGCCGTGGCGTCAAAAAAGGGTGAGAAAGGGCACTACTCAAATGTGAAATGGAATGAGCCCGGTAAACCATGCAACTGGTGGATTCCTTTCAGGGACCCCTTCGTTTAGTCCTTTAAGGGGATCCATTTTGGGATGAAATGGAATGACCGGGACTATGAACCATCCAACTGGTGGAGGCGGTTTCCTTTAAGGACCAAAGCCTGGGTTTAATCCATGTTTCCATTTACCAGGGCAACCCACTTTGGGCTTACCCTTTTTTTTGACCTACGCCCAAATAGCGGAAGCTTTCTACGGCTGCTTTTGCTAATTGTTACTTCGTCATCATACCAATATGGGTAACAGAGAACATCCTCCGCACACTGCCCGTCCGGATTCTTCGCATTCCATTTTGTGACAGCAGATACACTGCCGCCTCAACACCCGGCAAGACAGACTGTACTCCACATTTGTTGGCTGTGTGCCAGCAAGCAAGCAAGCAAGCAAGCAAGCAAGCAAGCAAGCAAGCAAGCAAGCAAGCAAGCAAGCAAGCAAGCAAGCAAGCAAGCAAGCAAGCAAGCAAGCAAGCAAGCAAGCAAGCAAGCAAGCAAGCAAGCAAGCAAGCAAGCAAGCAAGCAAGCAAGCAAGCAAGCAAGCAAGCAAGCAAGCAAGCAAGCAAGCAAGCAAGCAAGCAAGCAAGCAAGCAAGCAAGCAAGCAAGCAAGCAAGCAAGCAAGCAAGCAAGCAGCAAGCAAGCAAGCAAGCAAGCAAGCAAGCAAGCAAGCAAGCAAGCAAGCAAGCAAGCAAGCAAGCAAGCAAGCAAGCAAGCAAGCAAGCAAGCAAGCAAGCAAGCAAGCAAGCAAGCAAGCAAGCAAGCAAGCAAGCAAGCAAGCAAGCAAGCAAGCAAGCATGCAAGCAAGCAAGCAAGCAAGCAAGCAAGCAAGCAAGCAAGCAAGCAAGCAAGCAAGCAAGCAAGCAAGCAAGCAAGCAAGCAAGCAAGCAAGCAAGCAAGCAAGCAAGCAAGCAAGCAAGCAAGCAAGCAAGCAAGCAAGCAAGCAAGCAAGCAAGCAAGCAAGCAAGCAAGCAAGCAAGCAAGCAAGCAAGCAAGCAAGCAAGCAAGCAGACAGACAGACAGACAAACAGACATAAGGACAGAAAGAAAGAAGGCGCAAACATGAAAGAAAGCAAGCGAGCAAGAAAGAAAGAAAGGAAAGAACAAATGCAAGCAAGACTGAACGAATAGGACAGGATAGGATAGGAAAGGATGGGAAAGAAATGGCAAAGAAAGGAGAGGAAGAAGGGAGGAAGGAAAGGAGAATAAACAAAGAAAAAACAAATCAATACAAGCACGCAAACAAACAAACAAACAATCAATCAAACAAACAAACACACAGGCAAACAAAGAAGCAAACAAACCACAAGGAAACAAACAAACAAACAAACAAAGAGACAAACCACAAACGAACGAACGAACGAACGACCAGGCAAGCTAGCAGACAAACAAGCAAAAAAGAGAGTCAAACACGCAAACAAGCAGACAGTCTAACAAACAACAAAACCAAGACAAACAAACGAACGCACGGAAGAACACACGAACGAACAAAAAAGAGAAGAAACACCACAAACAAACAAGCAAGCAAACAAACAAACAAACAAACAAACAAACAAACAAGAAACAAAGAGACAAACCACAAACAAACAAACGAAGACACAGGCAAGCTAGCAGACAAAAAATAATCAAACAAAGAGTCAAACACGCAAACAAGCAAACAACGCAACAACCAAACAACCAAACGCAAAACAAACAAACAAACAAACGGAGGAACGAACACACAAAAGAACGCACGAAAGAAGACACGAAAGAACACACGAAACATCAAACGAAAGAACAAACAAACAAACACACAAACAAACAAACAAACAAACACACAAACTAACAAACTAACAAACTAACAAACTGACAAACTAAACAACCAACACCAACAAAAACAAACAAATCACACCAACACAAACCAAGCTAAAGCAAGGCAAAACCAAGAAGCACAACACACAACGGAAAGGAGAATCGCACAAAAACATAAAGAATCAAAACCAATCAAGCAAACAGTCAACCAACACACGCCAATAAGGAAGCAGACACGGATTCCGGCTTTTGTGGGGCTTCTCCTGCGTCTCCTTGCAAGCCAGGCACCAGCAGGACAGGCAGGCCGGTTTTCTTCATCTTCTGCCACTCCATGGCTGCGGTGAGGAGAAGCCAAATCCAATCCGATGTTCTAGGGGTGAAGGATCAGCTCCATTTGCATTTTGGCCCCCTGGGAAAAATTAACAATATGTCCAGTAGTGATAGATTCCCTTTAAAACCAACAGGGGAAATAAAACATATTCTGAACCAAATGGAAGATCATTTTCCGGCGCCAAATGCGAGGGAATGACTCCCAAAACAGCTATTTTAGGCTCGAGCGGCTCAAGTAGCTGTAGTGACCAAGCTACTTGGAGTGGTTTCTATGTTGACTGGTTGTGCTTTGAACATGCGGCGAAACCGAGATGTGTAGTTTGCTCTGAGGCAAGGCTCTGGGTGCTTTGTTTTCTCTCAGCTATACTCTTGGCTCAAGCGTTTCAAGGCATCTTCTCAGTGTGAGTCACAATCAAAACCCGGTAGTAAAATGGTCTACCCAGAACCATGTAAAGAATTAAGAAGGCCGCAACATTTTCTGACTGGGACTGCCCCTTACTAACCTTCATCTACCCGGGTTTTGATTGTGGCTCATGTGAACTTCCCAAAACCCGACCCACTGGTGATCCGACTGGAAGTATGAGTTAACAAATTCATACTGCGACACGGATCCGGGCAAATTGCTTGAACCCACTACTCCAAATACCCGGCCTTTTTGTAGGGCATGATGTCGACCCTCTACTAAACAAGGGATCGGTATCTACCATGGAAAACCGATCGGTTATTCCAAAAAAACCTAGGCAACGTGGGTATTTGGAGCAGGGGGAACATCCAAGCTGAAAATTTTGGAATCCGCCCTGAATCCCCTCCAGAAGACACGTGAGCTGGCGAGCTCGTTCTAACCAGAGCTGGTCCACCTCTTTTTGTGTTTTCGTCCCCTCGAAAAAAAAAAAAAAAAAAAAAAAAAAAAAAAAAAAAAAAAAAAAAAAAAAAAAAAAAAAAAAAAAAAACGGAAAAACATATGTCCAGTGGTGAAATCGATTCCCTTTGAAACCAGCAAGGGAAGAAAAACAAAATCAATCAAGCCAATTGAAGTCTAAGTTCAGGTTTTTGTATTAAAACCAGCAAGGGACAAATAAATAACACATATTCTCAAACCAATGGAAGTCTAAGCTCAGGTGTTTGTTCTGACACCAACAAGGACAACATATCGTTTAAACAGAAAAAAAGAAAAAACTTAAGCCAATGGACGCCAAACTGTGTTCTGTTTTCCGCTCTCAACCAAGAATCAAGCGCCGGCTTTGGCCTCTGGCCATTTTGGCCTCTGAGGCAACTTGGCGCTGCGTTGCGCGAACGGCGACTCTGCTAGGACTACATCTGGAGAGACAGGTCCACTTCGCACGAGTTGGAAGAGGTGAAACCCGAGTGGAAGATTGTGGGGTTCACATCACCTACCAACTGGGTGCGAAATGGATGTTGTTCATTGGTGTGACTTCAGCCGCCACCATGCCTGTGCGATCAAAGTCATCAAGCGCATGACAAAGATAAACATGACAGGACAAGTACTCGGTTGCTTTCTGCTCCCCTTCTAAAAAGTTTAACTTTAGGGGTTTAATGGACAACCCATTAGTTGGCAAAAAGTTAAAGTTCTAACGTCCAAGCAAATGCAACAAAGAGTAGAATGTATGGCAAGTCGACAGGGAGAAGAAAGTCTGGAATGAAACTTGGGGAACATCAGGGAACCACCCAACACTGGGGACGGCAGAGCAGGCAACCTGGTTGATAAAGGAGGTACAGCCGCAGTGCAGCAAACAAAGGATCCACTCCGCAGCTCGTGAGATCCCTTTGCGCTCTTTCTTTCTAGGTCCTCCAGTTTTGGAGCTTAGAATAAGTTGGTAGCTTTTTTCTTTCTATGTTAGACAAAAGGGGAACCCTCCCTCCCAAAAACCCAAATTTGTTGGGAGAGAGGTTGGGCAGCCTTTCCCTGGGGGACGCAGACCTTCCATGGCTCCAGACCTCCCTGGCGTCAGGTGTTGGGTTTTGAGCGGACCAACAGACTCAGCCCAGTGGATGTCCACGGTTGAAAAAGAATCCATGCCTCTTTTTTTTCCGGGTTGGTTGACTTTAAAGGGACACCCTGCCCAAAAAAAAGAGGACAAACGGGGCACTGGGCAAAAGAGTTTAGAAAGAAGCAGGGGCACCGTCCAGCATTGATTGGGAACGTTCCAATTTGCAAGCTTCACGTAGAACCTTCACACCAAAACTGGGTTGAGCAAAGCAACCGCTTTGCGGTCCAACCCGGTCGCCCAGCCGCCTGCTCGCTCTCATGCCTGGCAATCAGCTTGGTAAGCACGTTTTTGGGTCCATCAACACATCACAGTGACATCCTGAACATTTGTCCCTGAATGGCGCCTCTATGGAAAGCCACCCCCCAAATGTACCCCCTGCTCCAAATACCACTTCTTCTAGGGTATCTTTTGGCAATCCTAGTTTTTCCAGGTAAATACCTCCTTTTTTAGTAGAGGCTCGACATGATACCCAAAAAAAAGGCCGGGTATTTGGAGTCGGGTCTAATTTCGAGAACTCCTAAAGTTCACTTCAAGGGACCCAAAAAGACAGTGGGGCAAAATCTTTGCTCGTGGAAATATGACGTGCGCCTTTCAATTTGCAGCTCGTGAGTGATAAGATGATTCGGGCTGAAGACATGCACTTATGAAAGTTAAGACAGACTTGTCAGCTGATTGATGGTTGCTCACCTTGCCCAATCCTTGAACCCTCGCAGGCTTCAAGCCTTGGTATCCAGTGCAGCCACGGCACGTGAAGCCTCCGCACTGTAGCAAGCAAGCAGCGCCAGTTTTCTGCTTTTGCTGCTCGAACCCCAAGAGCCATCACTATCCGCATCAAGGGTCAAGGGCATCCCGACTCCAAACACCCGGCCTTGTTAGTTGGTATCATTTGTCGACCCTCTGCCAAAAAAGGAGGTACTTACCTTGAAAAACCGATCGGTTCTCCCAAGAATACCCTAGAAAAAGGGGGTACTTGGAGTAGGGGGGGCCTTACGGTCGAACATGGTTGATCTGTCTGTGATGCCGCCGTGGCTGATGTCCATTGCCATGACAGCGTTGTCTCAAAGGGGATTCTTCGGGGGCACACAAAGTGGTCCCAAAACCTACTAGGTTACCCTAATGGCTCCAAAGTATACGTGCAAAAGCCTGGCCGTTGTGCTGCCAAGTGGCAATGGGGTGAATTTGCGCTTTTTGAAGCTACCCGTTAGGATTGGCTTAAAGGGGAACCAAAAGGAAGCCAATCATTTTGGGGGTCCCCCTACTGCGGCACATACCCAGAGTAGCACCAGATACCGCTCCAGGGGCAGGGGCGTGTGGTGGAGTCTATGTTGTGCAACCACCTTCTCCACACATTCGCAAGCGAGATCGAAGCCCCCCGAAGAGTGACCCCGACCCCATGTGCGACCACCTTCTAAGAGGGTAACAAAACAAACTATTAAGGTTTGAGTCCAAATCGACGCCCTCCGACTGCTTTTTGCCATTCATGGGTTGCCCATGGCACCGGGGCTCGGAATTGGCTCTCGGGGCTCTCGTGCCTGCACCCCCAAGGCGCGGATCTTCCGCTCCAGCACTGACGCTTCCACCTGCGGACGCTTGAGCCGGAAGATCCCAATGAAGGAATCCCCCAATACCGAGGAATCCACAGCTAGGTCCTCCAGTTTTGGAGGTTTGAATAAGGGTACCAACTTCTTCCGTAGTCTATTTTAGTAGGCGAACCCTCCCCCAAAGAAGGGGTAAACGGGCACTACTGGGGGACCTAGACAATAAATATGTTGACCGTTCCTCATATAAGTGTGAGGTGTAATGGGAGACCCTCTAGTGGACATCATTCGCATAGGGGTGCATGTCCGCCAACCACCTTTGAGGTTGTTCCTTACTAAGATTCTTCGCCAAATGGGTGTCTACTGTTTTAGGCAACGTCCTCATTTTGCCCGCATCATGTTTCGGCTGAAGAAGGGACAAACACACTTTTAGATGGGTTTGAACTTCAGGGAATCAGAATCCGCTGAAGAACTGGGCTTTTTGAGGTGTCTCGGGATAAGTTGAGTTTCCCTAGCCAGCGGGCCATGGCCTATGGGTGAAAGTGGATGTGCGCAAATGCCCCTTGTGGCTACAACAAAAGCAAAGGGGAGCTAAGCAAAAGGGGCTTCATTTCGCACCAGGGCCTGGCACTCCATCCACACTGAAAGACGTCAACGAGCCCAAGGGCAATGCCAAGGACGTCGAATGAAACACCGGGCCGAAAGTTTCGCGGCGCATGGGCCGAGGCGAGAGACAAGGGGCCCTGAAAGATACAAGCCGAGCCCCGAGCTGGACATCTCCCAACTCTGGGAGTTCGGGAGTCCCCGGACTGGGGAAAAACGGAGATGAAGCGATCGCCTTTTCCACTTCATGGCTTGCGAGCAAATTAAACCGACTAGAACCCCCCCAGTTCTTGGCACATCCTGCTCGGATTGAGTCCAACCTCGCACAACTTGAACTGTTCAATCAACGGTGACAAGCCCACATTGCCATTCTCAGTCTCGCGAGAAGCACACCACCCCAAAGCCGGGCAAAAAGTCCCGATTGTGCACCTCTTTTTTTTGCCCCGGTAAGTTTCTTGCCCGGGAATATTTTTTGCCGAGCGATTCTTTTACCCCCCCGGTTTGCCGCGAGAAGCACCCCAAAGCTAAACCCAAATCTCCAAGAATCGGACACCTCCGGAGGGTTTTGTGTTTTTTTGGCGCTCGGGTCAGTTGTAAATCTCCAAGAATCGGACACCTCCGGAGGGATGTGTGTTTTTTTTTGGCGCTCGGGTCAGTTGTAAATCTCCAAGAATCGGACACCTCCGGAGGGTGTTGTGTTTTTTGTTGGCGCTCGGGTCAGTTGTAAATCTCCAAGAATCGGACACCTCCGGAGGGTTTTGTGTTTTCTTTGGCGCTCGGGTCAGTTGTAAATCTCCAAGAATCGGACACCTCCGGAGGGTTTTGTGTTTTTTTTGGCGCTCGGGTCAGTTGTAAATCTCCAAGAATCGGACACCTCCGGAGGGATGTGTGTTTTTT